TCTCTCTCTCTCTCTCTCTCTCTCTCTCTCTCTCTCTCCGCCCCCCTCCCTCTCTCTCTCTTCCCTTCCTCCTCTTTCTCTCATACACATACATATATCCACATATATGAACATGGATTCTAGAAGATAGATACCAGATTTCACGTGAACAAGGCATTCTCGATTTCCTTGTCAAATCCGATCAATATCGCAGCTACTTCCTGATTTATAGGGACAGCCTCACGGTAAAACACAATAACCAACATGTCTATGAAAAACGGAATGATATCCGTTTATTCCAACAAACAGTATTCTTGATTCACGCAGGCGATTTAGTACAAGAATATCTAATTCTTTTTCAAAAATTTTATTTCTCTCGATTTCAGGAGCATAGAATACTAAATTCTACTAATGGAATTATACGCGCTCGCACACGCAAATGTGTCCATATTTCGACATATAAATATCGATTCAGAGCGATAAAGTTCTCTTATTTTACCTTCTCAAATTTCGCAGTCAGGCTCGGCTGATGCAAACTCTCCAAGCGGCTCGCTCCATTGAAAGACTTCACGGTAATTCAATATCTGTTCAAATTCAAGTCTGCGAGGCCATAATTCGTGAAAATCGGTATCTTCCTCGCCCGCGGTTTTAGAGGATTGTAATCCAGTATGGGCAGCACTCGCGTATGGACATGTATCACGCTTGATCGGTTTCTCGGCTCTTCTTCGGTTTTCAATCGCGATCGCAGAGACGAAAACATCACACTCACCAGATAATAAACTAGCTCGATAACGCTAAGTAATGAACCGCCCAGGAATAAGCTGATTATACCGCCAAAAGATACTGCAACGAATTAAGTATGCAAATCGTTCAAGTTATTAATATGATGATTGTGACAAAATATTCGATGATACTGATGGAACATGTCGATGGATAATGGAAACTTAAGTGAAATTGAAACGGGCTGCTCTAAGAGTGAGTTACATGTTAACATTAATTTTCAGAACGCGGTTTTAATCCATAATCTAGGCGAAATTTTACCACTGATCTCGCATGCAACTGTAACTAGATATTTTACTTTCTTATGATACGATCACGAATAATATCCAAGATAGCCGCCACGTAAACATTTTGAGCACAAGACATGAGAGTACTATGAATTCGTAACTTACTATCTCGCGGGACTCATTATACGCTAGGAAACCACTGCGGAACGGCTAATAGAGATAGGGAAATAATTAAAGTACCGCAAATTAAAGTTCTCCGCAAACCTCGAAAATGAATTTGAATAAAATGGCATTTACGTTTTTCCATTTCCGGTTCTTTCATCTTGTTTCCATAAATTTCTCAAATCCGACTTAATAATCACGCCGATTAACAATGCACTATTAATTTTTCCGGAATTAAATCCTGTCTAATGGAATTGTAAATAAATATAAATTCGATGAAAACTGTTAACCAAAGAATTCATTTTATGATTTATTTATCGTTTTTTTTATATTAGGCGAGAGATTTTCGGCAAGAAACAAATATAACATACGTATACATTGTTTGAAAAATGCAGAGAACTTACCGAGAAGGTCCATTTGTGAGATAACTATGTCCGTTTTATAGCGAAAACTAGTTTGCCCTAGGTAATGTACGTCCAACATAATGTCATTCGTGTTATGTAATGGCACGTTAGAAAACTGAGCACTGTAGATATAGTAGTCGCATTCCGGCAAGCAGTTGCAAATCATGCTAGGAATGTCGTGTGGGTAGTCGTCGCCAAAGTGAACAATGTAGTCGTTGAACAAATCTTGCGTCGCCATTCAACGTTTCACAAAAGTAAATTATATTCATTTTGGTTAATAATACATTTGGTTTAAAATATTATAATACATATTCACGAAATATATTGAGGTAAATGAAATTTCCGATGAGAGCTTGCTCACCATTATAAGTGATCAGACAAATGAAATCCTCGATGGTGCAGTCACGAAAACGGGTGGCTGAAACATAAATGAAACATTAATGAAGTTGTACGTCATTTCGCTATAAATGTAAGAAATCATACTTGCGGGGAAAAAAAAAGACGGGTTGCAATTGCAATACTTGACAACCCAGTAACGTTTGCAAAACGACAAGCAGGTCTCCTGGTGGTACACGCCGTTTTCATCATATTGGCATGGTTGTTTATCCTTGTCCAGTTCGAGAACTCGATGAGTAGCGTATCCAGAAATACATTGTAAAGACATACTGACCCGCGAACCCAACGGTATCATAGTGCCACTGTTGGGCCAGACATGGGGCTCGTTTATTATCACCACAACGCCATTAACCTCCTCTGTATAACAATTTGTTGAGATATTAAGATTAACGATATTCAAGGAGATACAATTTTTAACCTTTTACATAAAAATTCTTTTTTTTTTATAAATCCGGATTGGGTAGATCCGGTGAAAGCAGCTTAGAACCGGTATAAGGACCGTGAAGTTCTTTGAAGGCGACATTTCAATAACTGCCTCGTGCAATACGGCGCCGATATATCGATTTTGCAGTTTACGATAAATCCCTTTCCATTTTGCATGGGTAATAAAGGAACGACATTATGGCAGAATGGAAGTCGCGTCCTATTCAAAATGCATCCTAGTGGTCGACGGCTTTCGCGAGGATATTAAAATCATATTTGCGAGACTCTGCGACGCGTTTGCATAACGATGGATTAGTAACGATATGTCGTGGTGTATACTTCGTCATTTAACGGATCTCGACAGAAATAATATTAGTTATTAATCCGTCAGTTTAGCCGAGTTTACATCCAGTTTGCCATTATATGGTTCCTCTCTCTCCCTGGCTCTAGTTTGGATTTATGCTAAATGTTTATTCAGATAATGCATTTATGTCCCTTTGTCCAAATAATGCAATAACAAATAATACATGATAATCTAAACTGAAATTATGCATACAATTTGCGTAAAAATGTTAAAACAGAGGTACAATAAGGGGTTAACATAAAAAAGAATAAACATAAAAAAATTACCCAAAAAATTAATGGATTCTATCCTTCATCTAGTCTATCCTTAAAAAATATAAAATTTTCAAGAGAATGCAACTTTGTTAAAAATTACCATAATAAAATTATCCAAAAAGCATTTTAAAGCTCAAAGTCTTTACTTTTCAGATCGGTAGTTTAGATAACGACCTGACTAATTTTTTTAAAGTTATACGAATACAAATGGAGATCAGTCAAATTTAAAAATTGTTTATGAGCTTTGTAAAGTTCCACGTGAATTAAAAATCGCACACAAAAGTAATTTGGCAGCTTTCGAAAAAATGAATCTTTATCTTTAATTTACGTATTGTTGAGCATTATATTATACGTTATATTTTTTTCACCAAATTATTCAACATTAAATTAACATTGAAGCAAAAAGTGTTTTTTTTTTATATTTTTATCATTCACTGCAGAAAACGAATGAAGTAATGCTCGGTATTTTTTAAAATACGAATAAAAAGGTCTAAATTTTCTCTTTAAAATCCACTTATCATTTTTTTCAATATAAAAAAATTGATTGTATGTAAATTTCGCTTAAATAAAGCGCTGAAAATTAAATAATTAACACCATTATCATTTACCTTAATATATCTCGACAAGAAACATTAAGAATACAATGATCTTAACGTAATTGATGTTCTACGTGTTCAGAACAATGACTTTAGGCAAAACAATGTTCGCTTGATTCTATCGCAGCAGACCCGTCGCGCATTGTGTGGACTGTGCAGGTTGCATGGTCAGACAATCTACTTAGTTTATCCAATCTGACTATTCACCGCTATTTCTATGTCAGTCTGAATTTGGTACAGTTTAAAATAAAACTATAAGTCTCAATGTATTATTTTATGTTGAACTGAAAAATTGTTGAAAATCACTCTTTACATGTTGCAGATAACTTATCAGAGATTAAAGACG